TACTGGTAGCCAGATTTTGTTCATTTTCATGGTTTCTTCCTTTCTGTTAAAATTGTCCACATGCTTGTGGATTTCAATGGCTTCTCTGTGTATCCTGACATGGTAGTTGCTAGAATGGTCCAGCATTTCTGTGTTCTCAGATAATATGCTATGTCCTGGTTGGTTTTTCAGGTGCTCTGCTATGGCTGACTTCTCTAGCTGAAGTAGTCTGCAGTGCCTTTCAAGTTCCTTGAGTTGTGTTTGGGCACTACATTTGATGGACCCTATGTAGACTTGTCCACAGCTGCATGGTATATGGTAGACTCCTGCAGAGCTGAGAAACGTCAGGAGATAATGCTTCTAGAACATGGCTACATAGACTGAAAAACCCACAACTACCCAGTGATTTCTGCCATGAAAGTCTTCGACAATCCATTTTTAAAAAAGGGCAGGAAAGAAAAAAATGTTCCATATTCTCCATGGAATTGTTACTAAGTGCTACGTTACAGATTATACATCACAGACTGAAAATTTTCACCATCTATCATATTGTTATTGTCTCTTAGTAAAAAATGGAGCTTATACTTAATTTACAACACATCTCACCACAGAATTCTATTCATTTATTCCAGCTTTGTTGACTTTTGGTGCTAGATACAAAAGAGGTCAATGCATTTTACTATGTAAAGCTACAAGTACCCACCATAAGAGAAAAATGTCCATACCAATATGAGTAAGAATATTTCTTCTCTCACAAAAGATAACAGATATGCATAGATCCTTTACGACACCACTTTAAAGCCTGAAAATAACTCAGTTGCAAAATTAGAAATAACTTCTATTTTGTTCCATAGAAGAAGAAAGTATATAGGATTGCTGTGATAAATTTTTGTCTCATTTATTATCAAGTAAAGGGAATTGCATCAGTAAACACTTTACCTTGCACATAGACATAAACACTTGCTGCTGTATGGTTGTCCCGATAAAAGCATTTGTAGGTTCCAGTGTCATTGGCTTTTACTTTGCTAAGTGTGAGGAGCTTACAGTAGACATTTTCCGTACAGTCCATCACTGCCACACGGTTTTCAGAACTCGTCTGATTGTTGGGCCAAAACCATTCCAAGGCTCTTTCACCACTGAGAGACAAACACAAAGGTATAAAGATACAAAAAGGAACACCTTACGAGTCATCATGGACAATCACTCGTGGCCAAGTATGATTGTCTACCAGAGGCAGAATCTCGGCAGTGAACAATGATTCTGGGTCCATATGATCTTTTATATGGAGGACATAGATTTCCGGATGGGAGGCGGTCACAACAAGGATTTCCTTGATATACCTTCCTATTGGCACGTTTCTTCCTTTCACCCTGTATTTGTACCTCTTCAAAATCCATAGCACTGTTGGTAACAGCTGACCTCCAGTTACAATGCTCAAGTTGTGACTGGATATCCCCCATTGTTAATGAAGAGTACACAGAGCTATGTTCATTCATTGATAAACCAACACATCTATCGTTGGATAAGCCATCCCAAATCAAATGCATCTCAGATAAAATGACCTCAAACAAAGAATATAGTGTTCACTTAGACAGTTGCCATTAATCTGGTGATAATCATGCACATAGAAATAATATCAAACGTACAGTTTTATGCTTGAATTTAATTTTATAACAGTTTATTTTTTTAAAATAGTTTGTTCACTTTAGGTATCATAACAAAGTCACTTGAAACCATAATTAAGAACATAACAACAGGTTCCAATCTATGGCAGCTCTAGGATTGGAATTATGTATCTGCTTTCAATTTCAGTATCTCCAGCTTTCCTGTTTTCTAGGCTCAGGAAAAAGAGCTATGGCAGTAATAATTCATTCTCAGTTTTACAGCCATCATACCTAAGCATACCTATAAACTCACTTTGAATCCTACTTGATACCCCTCAATGGTATCAAGACAAACATCCAACAGTTAAATTTATCTAATCACAGTCTGGCATGATGACTAAACTGAGATTTAGATTCTTAAATTAAAGCAATGTCCAAGTCTTCCAACTTGATGTGTTGGGTTGAATTCAGTTTTGGTCATGCTTAGCAAAGGATCGCCACCTTGTCGTGGCACTGGAGCTTGAGCATCTCAAACTCCAGCTTGAGAAACTGTGAAACTGTGAAGGGCCACACAAGATGGGACAGTCGTGGCAGAGAGGTCAGACCAAGCGCGATCCCTGGGGAAGGCAATGGCAAACCACCCCAGTATTCTTGCCAATAAAACTAAATGGACCAGTACAACCAGAGATATGTTGGTATGCCATTGGACGATGGGACTCCCAGGTTGGAAAATGACCAAAATGCTACTGGGGAGGAGCAGAGGATAAGTTCAACTAGCCCCAGATGTGATGACGCAGCTAGCTCAAAGCCGAAAGGAAGGCTGTCGACTGTGCTGGAGGTGAATGACGAATCCAATGTTCTAAAGATCAACACACCATAGGAACCTGGAATGTAAGATCTATGAGCCAGGGCAAACTGGATGTTGTTATAAGTGAGATGTCAAGACTAAAGGTAGACATTCTGGGGGTCAGCAAACTGAAATGGACCGGAATGGGCCACTTCACATCAGATGACCACCAGATCTACTACTGCGGAAAAGAGGAACACCAAAGAAATGGAGTAGCCTTCATAATTAATAAGAAAGTTGCTAAAGCAGTTCTTGGATACAACCCAAAAAATGAGGGAATGATTTCAATTCAAGTGGAAGGAAAGCCTTTCAACATTATAGTGACCCAAATATACGCCCCAACGACAGCTGCTGAAGAAGCAGAAGTAGATCAGTTCTATGAGGATTTGTAGCACCTACTGGATAATACACCAAAAAAGACATTATTTTCATTACAGGAGACTGGAATACCAAGGTGGAAAATCAATTGACAACTGGGATCACAGGCAAGCATGGTCTGGGACAACAAAATGAAGTGGGCCATGGGCTGGTAGAATTTTGCCAGTCAAGTTTGATATCCTCATCAGTAATTCCTAATAGGAAATACTCTGGTTTTTTTTGGAAATTATTTTGAGAGGATTTATTGGCAACCTTCATGGATTGATTTCCAATATTTCTGAGCTTCCCTGCAAGCCCACCAAAGGTGATAGAAGCTCCCTTCATGTTCATTACATTTCCAACAATTTTTAGAGGTGTTTTTATACATTTGGTTTAATTTTTTTGGTGTAATACACCACCGATGGAACATTTTAGCCAATTTTCCTTTAAGTCAGATGTGTATGTATTACTTTTTGTTCCACATTAGTTCCCAATCTGCCAGCGGTATCAATCTTTTGAAAATTTCGGACCACTTTAGCATACAATTGCTCTCCTCCCAAGAAGTAAGCATCTCCTGATTTCCTGGCTGCAGTCTGCGTCTGCAGTAATCTTTGCACCTAGAAATACAAAATCTGTCATTTGGTATGAAAGAGAGAGAAAATAAAATACAATTTATTACCTCCCCTTCTGTTGACCATTCAAGTAATTTATCAAAAATTTTTGTTATGTTCTTTTTTTCTGTTTTCAAAATTTTATCCCAAAATTCTTCCTTATTATGAAAGCCTAATTTCTTATCCTGCTTATAATATTTCTTAATTTGTAGATAGTGTAACCATGTGATGTTAGGGAAGTTCTGTTTTAATTATTCATGTGTTTTCAGTGATAATAAGTCTTTATCCAGAAGATCTTTATAGATTGGCCATTTAGACCAGCCCAAAAGTCTTCTTTGACTGGCTTCCATGGGAGATAGCCACAAAGGAATTTTTGTATAAAAATGCCTCTTGTATCGGTTCCATATTCTTTAAAGTGATGAGTGACCCCTGCGATTTCCCCAAATGCAGGAAATCTCGACAAAATAGTGAAGAGTAGAGACATCACACTGGCAACCAAGTTCTGCATAGTTAAAGCAATGGTATTCCCCATAGTCATCTACGGATGTGAGAGCTGGACCTTAGGGAAGGCAGAGCGAAGGAAGATAGATGCTTTTGAATTGTGGTGTTGGAGGAAAGTTCTGAGAGTACCTTGGACTGCGAGAAGATCCAACCAGTCCATACTTCAGGAAATAAAGCCTGACTGCTCACTGTAGGGAAAGGATACTAGAGGCAAAGATGAAGTACTTTGGCCACATCATGAGAAGAAAGGAAAGCTTAGAGAAGATTGGGGAAAATGGAAGGAAAAAGGAAAAGGGGCCGACCAAGGGCAAAATGGATGGATGGGATCCTTGAAGTGACTGGTTTGACCTTAAAGGAGTTGGTGGCTAGTGATGGTTGACAGGGAGCTCTGGCGTGGGCTGGTCCATGAGGTCACGAAGAGTCGGAAGCGACTGAACAAATGAACAACAACAACATGCTTAGTAGAGTAGATCAACTGAAGTAAACAGGTCTTAGCTTTGCCATGACTAAATTCTGCTTTATTTATTTTCTAGATCTACTCTCATTGAGTGAATTTGAAACATAATCATAAAAATTCTATGTATGTAATGTAATCAATTGTGATGAAATAGAACCATGGTCCTGAAATGACAACACTGTCTTTTTTAAAAGCAATTTTCACACTATGTGGCTCACATGGCTAACTTACATGGCCAAAATGACTCCGGCCCAGTTTACCTGTCCGAACGGATTCTCCCCTATGAACCATCAAGGTTACTAAGATCTTCTGGAGGGGCCCTGCTCTCAGTCCCACCACCTTCGCAATCGCAGTTGGTGGGAACAAGGGACAGGGCCTTCTAGGTGGTGGCTCCTCGGCTTTGGAACTCCCTTCCACCAGAGATTAGATCTGCTCCCTCTCTCCTGACTTTTAGGAAACTAACAAAGACCTGGCTTTGGAATATGGCATTTGAGGGTTGAATCAATAACCCTCGTCCARATGGAAGGATGATGGTGAATTGTGATTGTATTGATGACTTGGCTTGTGTAATGCGATGATGATGTTTTTATTGTACTTGTATTTTAATGTGTGATGATGATGCATTGTGTTGTTTTGTATATTGCTGTATATGAACACATGTTGTGAACCAGCCTGAGTCCCTCCTTGGAGGTGAGAAGACTGGTATATAAAACTTCTAAATAATAAATAAATAAATAAGCTAAAGGCAGGCAAAGTGCAGTTCATGAGATAGGAGCATTCTATGACTCTCAGGGTCATGTTTTAAAACTCTGAAATGCCCACATATGTGTARTGAGGACATTTTCAGCATGTCTAAAAACCATGTAGGCAAGGGTGGTTGTCGAAATTTTGTGATCTCTCCCCACCCCCCTCAATAGCCCTAAAATTATCCCCTAAATGGGAGGTCAAGGGGGTATTTCCACTGTATTTTGGGGCTACTGAAAAAAATTATCCCCCAAAGAAGTCCTTTTCAAAACAAGAGGTTAATAGGAAATTATTTCCTTTTGTTAAATAAGTCACAAAACATGGTAAAATGTACCTAACACTGGCAAATGAGGCAATATTAAGCTGTGTTCCAAAAGTAAAAAATATGTGAACCCCCATTTTTATGCACATAGAGAAGAATGACATTGCCAGAATAAAAAATGATGAACACAGAAATCCAGTGTTTAGGTAGGGTGAAACTTGAAATCCTCTTACTTTAGCAAGCTTCTTATTTGACACCTAGAGCCCCGGTCAGCAAAGGAGAAACACTAAGAACAGAGCTTGGCAGTCAATGCCCTCTGGTCAATGGGTTAGGTTCTTTTTTCTTGATGCTCTCTCTCTGTCTCTCGCAAAGAGGATGATAGAAATTCAGTCTGAGACTTGTATAAGGTATCCTGATCCACATCGTCACAGTTCACTTGGAAGATTTCATACTGCCTTTTTCTTACCAGCTATATATGTGCAAAGTTGCATAATACAGACCAAGATATAAAATCACAGACAGCATTTAGAGTGCTTTAGTGCTCTTTCTTACTCTATTGTTGCTTTTGTCATGGGAGAAAGAGAATGTTCGAACTTGACATAATCAAGACATACTAGGAATTTTAAAACCAAAGTCTAGTGTTCTTTAGGACTAGCTGTTCTTTCAATAAAGTCTGGATCCTATATCCTAGGATCTGATCCCTGATCATCTGTTTATCCCAGATAATCTGGAAGTGTAGACCCATACCATCCAGTTCAAAGCAGATAGTCTGAGATCAGATCCTCTGACATAGGGCAGAGTAGATCTATCCAGAGAAAGAGCAAACAGATCAGATGGATATTGCAAACATCACTGATGCATTTATTACAAAGCAAAAAGAAGCCTTGTTTGGACTGGAGTGGAAAATTTGCGAAATATTGGCCAACAATCAGAAGTTATATAATTTGCTGTTGATGTAGCAAAACTAATTGGGGGGGGGGGCATAGGTTTTGCAAGTGGTTTTATTCCAAATTATAGTTGCTCCTGTGGGGAACAGCTAACTTTTTAATTCTTCAGACACCTCCATCATGAAAGCATTCTAGGGAGAAACAGCTGAATGAATACTTATACCGGGTCTAGACTAGATATAATCTGGCAGATATATAAAATATTGTATGTGAACCAGTGAGGTTTATGGATTGAGTGTTGGACTATGATTCTGGAGACCAGGGTTGGAATCTTCCATTTAGCCATGAAAACCTACTAAGGGCCCTTCTAGGGCACTTCCAGACATGGGGAAAATCCACACCAAAGTTTTAAAAAATCTTCTTTGGTATGGATAGTTGTCCCCCTGCCTGCCCAAAGGAACTGGGCTTTCTCTTTGGGTATCCCAGTGCTATCCTGGTAACTTCTGGGATGGCATGGGGCCACCCAACTCCTGCATAAAAGCCCTTAAAATAAGTAAAAACGCAGCAGGCCACCATTAACTTCCTCCAGCAGGCCTCGTGGAGCATAGAAATGACACACCAGGAGGTGGTGGGGAGAGAGCTATTTTCCTCCTCACCCCCCCCCCCTTTGGAGGAGGTTAATAGAAGCCCAATATTTATTTTTATTTTAAGGGCTTTTGGGGGGTTGGGAAGGGGGGAAGGAGTGGGTGCCCTCTTGTCTTGCATCTCTGGGCTCATGGAGTCTGACAGAGCAAGACAAAATGTGAACTGACTCCTAGGAGTCGGTCCCCACAGGCCTCATACCCCATTAGACAAAGACCTTAAAATACTATTTAAATACCCTGTTAGGCCCAGGTCTAATGCGGTATTTAATTAGTTCATGATAAAAGCAGGATGTATCTGCTTTCTCCCAAATTAATTCTCTTTTATCAGAGGTGTCAGACCCCACATTTTGGGCCCTGTCTGGAAGCACCCCCAGACAGGGTTAAATCTAGGGGGATACTGGGATATTTAACACAGTTCCTTTTAGACTTTAGTCCCCACACCTCCACAAAACCCCATGCTTCCCCTGTGTGTGTGTGTGTGTGTGTGTGTGTGACTAATTACCCTCTAGGGCTGACCCCTCTCCCCGTTTTGCCCCCAAATGTACTGGATGCACCAGAAAGGGTCTTTACATTAAGGTCTGGATCTTTCCAGGTGTTTTTAATAATCCAGAGTAAACTAGGAAATCCATTTACTCTGGATTAATTCAGGTTTACCTGAGGCATTGTTTGGACACCTCAAGTATGCTTGTGACCTCTTGAGGGTTGTGGGCCTGTGTGGAAGGGCTGTGAGTGACCTTGGAAAAATCAGACTCTCTCAACCTCAGAGAACAGGTATGACAAACCCCCTCTGAACAAAATGTGTTACAATAATAAAAATGATAAAAAAGTACACAACAACAACAAAAGGCTGTATAGAATTCTCTACATGTATATTATATGCATACAAGGATTCAGTGAAATCTCCCATTCTTTCAACATTTGCAAAAGTCCAAACACAATGTGGTGTTTCATTTCTATATTCATAGTTTGACATTTTTAGATTTCTATAATTCTTTATTATTATGAAATCATCTAGTGTATGCCCACACTAGCCAAGAAAGTCAAAGAATGGAAATAAACTAATTTAAAATCTGTATTTTCTGTATTATTTTGATGTTTTTTTCTTACCTGCAAGTAATTTGTAGTGTATCATTTTCAGTGACAGTAATGAGAGATGTTTGGGTACTGAGTAAAGGTGGATCCAGAGAAACAGGGGAGTCTGCAAAATATGAAAGATCGGTCAGTAAACATGTTAAGAGAAACTTGCTTAACAGAGAGGATTACAGCAAATTACACATAACTTTCTTGTACATTTAAGTGGCCATATACATTCATGATGCACACCCAGTTCATACACATAAAGTGGAATTCTACTGTGTGCTACTCTGCAAAGGAATTGTGCCATTTATGTGTTAAATTATGAAGGATAAAACACATCCTTTCACATAACTTACTAGAATTTGTGAGTTGTGTCATCCCAGGAAGAATGAGCAGGTTGTCAGAAGCTAGCAACCCAGTTGTACAGTTCCAAAAGCTGGGCTGGAGTACCTGATTTGTTGCATTACAAACTTCAGGGGGCCCTTACACACAGATATAAAACCTAGAATATCAAAGCAGATAATCCACAATATCTGCTTTGAACTAAGTTATCTGAGTTTACATGTATTCCAGTTCAATGTGGATTTTATACAGCTATGTGGATGGGGCCAAGGTTATGGTTCATTGAAATAAAGTGACTAACATCACATGATGATCTCATGCACATGGAACAACTAGAATCTTTTCAGGTTTTTATTGCCGAATTCCTTTTCAACATAAATATGATTTGCCTATGCTTCACTAAATTACTCAGAATTATTTTTGCATGCCTCCTTTTATATGTAGTGGTTTGAATGTTGGAATATGGGCCCTTCCATGACTAAATCCCAGGAGGAAGTGAGATATCATATCACAATTCCTCTTGGGATTTAGTCTTCACACCCACCCCAAACCCAGGGTCTTACATACACCCCAAGGTCAAATAGAGGTTGACCAGGGGGGGCATGCAGCCAGCCCCAAACCTTCATTTATCTCCTAAACTTACCTGAAGGAGCTGATGAATGATCAGCCCCTCTGGGCCCTTCCAGACAGGCCCTATATCCCAGGATCTGATCCCAGGTTTTCTGCTTTAAACTGGATTATATAAATCCATACTGCCAAATAATCTGGAACAAACAAAAAACCTGGAATCAGATCCTGGGATACAGGGCCTGCCTAGAAGGGCCCTCATTCAAAACCTCCTGGTGTGACTTGCTACACCCCTCGAGCTCATGATGCATCATTTTGACACACCTGGAACTTTGGATGGAAGGGACTGAGCTTGCACCCAGGGCCCTCAGGTAGGTTTAGAAGGTAAAAGGTGGACTGGGAGAGGAGGGCAGGAGTTCCATCATGCTCCTCCAGGCTCCAGGAACCCAAAGAACCAGGCTCGCTGTGGGAATTGACCCCTGAGATTGTGGAATGTTGCCCTGTAGTCAATCCCCACAGGTCCAGCACTTCAACAGATCCAGACCTTTCAGTAAGGTTTGATCTGTTGAGGTGTTCTATTAACCAAGAGTAAACTTGGAAATCCCAGTTTACTACAGATTAATCTGGGTTTGCCTGAGGTTTCAGGTAAACCAATGGTCCTGCGTGGAAGGGCCCTAAGACTCTGAAAAACAGAGCTTGAATCCTCATTCAACTATCTGTTGAGGTGTTTTATTAATAATCCAGAGTAAACTGTGAAATCCCAGTTTACTCTGGCTTAATTCAGGTTTACCTAAGGCACCATCATAATCCTCCAGGATCCAGGAGCATGAAGAACCGATATCGAGGGACACCCCCCCCCAAATAAAAGGATATATGTGCAATGGACAATCCAAGAGAAGAGAGACACATTCAAAGAAAAAGGATAAAAAGATAATCACAAAATGCAAGACTGGAAACATGGGATGGAATGGGCGCAAAAGCAAAGCAGATAGAACATATGACAGACACACAGAAAAATAAAGAGTTTAAAGTCCCTTAAGGAATGAAAAAAAGGCAGAGAAAAGACAAGAGAAAGAGAACATTGGGGTCTGAGGACACATAGGTAATAAAATAATGATTGCAGATGAAGAATTTGGAAAACGGCGAGAGGCTGAGATTGGGATTTAAAGAGAGACATGCACAGTATAGGTGGGACTAAATGGAAAGAAGGYAAGTCATTTCCCCCAACATTTCAGTAAGTGTAGTTTTGGCTCAGGATAATAGRGAATACTATATAAAAATATGTTTTCCCCATTTGTATTTTATTATTTTTTATTATTTAAAACGAAGGGCGGAGCACAWCATACAAATGGCAAACARTSAATGCTGGGACATGAATAAATTATATGCATACATAAACATTAAAACATTTGTCTCAACAATAAAATACACTGTTGAAAAACACCTCAGTCATTTGCATCTAGTTGACATAGTAAGATTTCCTATCACTGCTTTATTGCACTGTCCTGAAAGCTTGGTATCACAGCCAAGCTTTTACGATCCTTCTGAAGGACAGGAGGGAGGGGGCTGATCTTATCTCACCAGGAAGGGAGTTCCATAGTCAAGGGGCATCACTGAGAAGACCCCTCTCTTGCCCCCACCAATCACGCCTGTGACAGTGGTGGGGCAGAGAGCAGGGCCTCCTTGGAGGATCTTAATCTCCGRGATGGTTCATAGGGGGAGATGCGTTTGGACAGGTAAATTGGGCCCGGGGGCCTTTTAGGGCTTTATAGGCCAAAGCCAGTACTTAGAATTTGCTCAGTAGTAAACTGGCAGTCAGTAGAGCTGACATAACATGAGAGTTGAGTGCACTCTGTATGTTGCTCCAGTTCTTAGCATGGCTGCCTCTCATTGGACTATTGGAAGCTTCTGAACTGTCTTCAAAGGCAGCCCCACGTAGAGTGTGTTGCAATAGTCTACCCTAGATGTAACAAGAGTGTGGACCACCGTGGCCAAGTCAGACTTTCCAAGGTATGGGTGCAACTGGTGTACAAGTTTTAATTTTGCAAAAGCTTCCCTMGCCACCGCCGCAACCTGGGATTCCAGGCTCAGAGATAAGTCCAGGAGGACTCYCAATCTGCGAACCTGCATCTTCAAGGGGAGTGTAACCCCATCCAGCACAGGCAGTAACTCTATACCCTATTTGGCCTTGCGACTGACCAGGAGAACCTCTGTCTTGTCTGGATTCAACTTCAATTTGCTTGCCCTCATCCAGACTGTCACAGCGGCAGGCGGTTCAAGACGTGGATAGCTTCCTTAGCATCTGGTGGAAAGGAGTAATAGAGTTTGATGTCATCTGTGTACAGATGGCATCGGACTCCAAAACTCTGGATGATTTTGCCCAGTGTCTTCATGTAGATGTTAACATGGGGGACAATACCAAACCCTGGAGACATCACAGGACAATGGCTGTGCGGCTGAGCAGGAGGCCCCCAACAACAACTTCTGGGTATGACCCTTCAGAAAGGACTGAAACCACTGCAGGACAGTACCTCTAAGGGAGCCCCCGGTGGCACAGTGGGTTAAAGCCTTGTGCTGGCAGGACTGAAGACCGACAGGTCGCAGGTTCGAATCCCGGGAGAGGCGGATGAGCTCCCTCTAGCTCCAGCTCCTCATGCGGGGACATGAGAGAAGCCTCCCACAAGGATGATAAAACATCAAATCATCTGGGCGTCCCTTGGGCAACGTCCTTGCAGACGGCCAATTCTCTCACAACAGGAGCGGTCGCTCCTGACACGACCAAAAAAAGTACCTCTAAGCACCATCCCTGTCATGCGACCCAGAAGGATACCATGTGAGAGGAATCCCACCCGCTAGGCACCAATTGAGAAGAACACTAGTTGAAAGGATGCTAGCAATCTGTAAATCAATCCCACTAGCTGTCACAAATTGCGAGGAACGCGCACCACTGCCCCCAATTGGGAAGATGTTATGGAGGTGGATGTTATGGAGGGGATTCACCTCAGGCCTCAACTGTGTAGAAGGGTATACTATGGAGGAGGCCAATTATTATTAGTAAATTAAGTTAACTGCCACCAACGTGAGGTATTATGTGGTACCACTGATGAGATCTGGCTCTACCGACGCAGAATAGTTAAAAAAAAGATAACAAGTTTATTGTGTACAAAGCTTATGGTTGCAGGTTGTTAAATAACTTATGGAACTTTGAATATCATGTGGTTTACAATTCAGTTCACTCTTCCAGATAACACAGCTTGTGACTAACTTTCATTGAGATGAAGCTGTAAACAATGTTTCACTACTACAAATATCTTTTCAATTTGATCTTTTCTTGATCAAATCTCTAATCTCTAGTCCCTCCCCAACTAGAGATCTTAACCAGGCTTCCTCTAGTCTTCTTTGACTGAAGAATCTGCCCAGGTTCTTCTCTTCAGCCCTCCTAGACTGATAAAACCACCCGCTCACCTACAAGTCTTTCCCTCACTCTCTAAGCCTTTCTTTAAAAATCACCCTTTTCCTGCTTGGCTCCACCCTCTCATGAGCTAGCCAGCCTCGTCTCCTTGGCAACGTTCACTGTGTATTTAAACCAGATGACTCCAGTTTTTGCTACTGTTGCAAACCAAATACATACTCTAACAGTTAAACATGAACATAATATCAATGGCTTCTGCACACCATGGTCTACGGCAGGGGTCCTTAAACTAACACGGCCCTCCAAGGTCATTTACTCAGCCCTCACTCAGAGTCAAYCTAAGTCTGAAACGACTTGAAAGCACACAGCARCARCARCARCARCAACAACAACAACAACAACAACAATCCTATCTCATCAGCCAAAGGCAGGCCCAYACTTCCCATTGAAATATTAATAAGTTTATATTTGTTAAAATTRTTCTTCAGTTTAATTATTGTATTGTTTTAAAGTGTTTTTTGCACTACAAATAAGATATGTGCTGTTGTGGATGAGTCTCTGAGTAGTAGTAACAACAGGGAGTTGGAGACTAGGCAGGCAAAAGGGTCTATTCAGGAGCAAGAGTCTAYTGAAGAGCAACAGCAGAAGAGAATTCGGCAAATACTTACTGAGCCCACTGAWGAAGAGTCTTTTGAAGGGTTTGATGGGGATGATGGGTTTGGCAATGAAGCAGATTCTATGAGAAGTGCTGGGAGTGACACTGATGGGSYTGGGGATGAGATGGATTGGACAAAAGTAGC